GTGTATCAGCCATGATATATGATGCGCATCCTCACAATCTTATTCACTGGATCTGGCAAATTGCAATTTACAGTTCTTCTTAAAAAATCAAAATGATCATAGAAGGTAAATGATTTGAAGTGATTCATCACAACAAGACAACTAAGACAGAGTAATTAAAAAGAGAACTTCCAAAGCTGCTTCAGAAGGTGGCAAGAATAATAGGAATAAGTTTATTTAAAATTGAAGGTGGGTGTATGTTTAAGAGATAACTGGAAATTTGTCTTCTAGGGCAACAATTTCTAAAATTTAAACATCAGATTGTTTCATATATGTATTTACAATTTGTATTTTTTTTATCTGAGAGGGATACATTGGAGGAATTTCTAAGTAAATGACTTAAAAAGCAACTTGAATCTATACTCTTAAGTGAAATAAATCAGGACCCACATGTCTAAATTATTGCATTTTCTCCCTGATGTAGGAAACTGCAAGAGTAAGGAACAATACATACACGACATTGTGAAATGGGAAGAAACTGTTCAAAAGGCCAGAAGAACCAATACAGTGGAAGGGGAAAAAGAAGGAAGGGAAAAGAAAAAAATAACAATGTTTGAAAAGTGTAAAATGGAAACAATGCTTTGTAAGTAGGGAGGGAAAATGGGTTAAAGGGAGGAGAGGGGATTAGGAAAAAAAGAATCAAAATACATCATGTAAGAATACAAATTTCCTATGATGAATGATTGTTATGTGTATCTAAAATGTACTAACAAAGTTTATATAAAAATTAAACATTCACCATATTTATCAATCACACCTTGTATTTTAGGGGGGAAGGACAATTATCAACACTTTTGCTTATGAAATAATGAATCTTGTGGAAGCCCTTTTCTTGATGGCGTCAGTAATTCTCAACGTGTACTGTAACAACATATACTGAATTCCATCTGAGAAGAAATGGTACGCACTGCTATAAGACTTTCTTCTAAAGGCTGAGCGGCCACACATTTATATGCTACGGGAAAAGAACAGCAGAGTACAAGTGCAATATCATTTTTTAAAAGGCTGGTTTTAGCTGTTGCTGCTTATTTTCAATGAAAGCATCAGAGGCTGATGTCATCCAGGACTCATTTTGATGTGCTAAATCTCAGTGCCACTAAGCCATGTTATTATGATTCAGAATATTCCAGGTCATAAATTCCTCAAGAACAAATACTTTTAACTTTCATAATTACATTCCCAAAAGTCCTCATGCAGTGTTGGTATGACATTTGTTCTCAGTAATATAATGGGTTGGTTTTTTGATATTTAACAGCTTTTGTCAAACCAAATAGGAAATAGATCTAATCTTCATGGTTTTGAATGTCTGCTCCTTCAGTCATCTCATCTAGGTCATGCGATATCTACTATTAATCTGTGTTATTCCAAGGGCTGGAGCAGCAGTGCTGAAATACACAAAGTCCTTGCCCATGCAGAACTTGTGGGCTTGTGGCAAGAGAAAATTACATGTATGGTCACGCACAATATATTTGAGAACTTAAAAAATGCTAAAATGTGTATATAAAGTATATTTTAACGAAGAGCCAGGGGAAGATAAAATAGTCAGGGAAGGCCTCCCTGAAGAAGTAATATTTGATGTCAGACCTAAATAATGAGACATCCAAGCCACAAGACAGATGTTGAGGGCTTGAGAGAGAACAGCAAAGGTAAAGGTCCTGAACTTGGGATCAGAGAGAAGCGCCTTGTCATGTTCAAGGCTGGTATCTAGAAGATGAATCCAAGAAGTAGAAAGAGGAAATGCACCAAAAGCCTGAAGGGCATGTGAAATGAGAAAATGTATTTACATTTAATAAGATGGTATTAGAAGGTCACAACAGGAAAGCACCCTGACCCAATTTGTACATCATTTTTCCAGGAAGTACCCTGACCCAACAGAATGCTCTCAAATTCCAAAGAAACCTTACATGATGATTGGATTTCTGTAGATCTGATGCTATTTACCATGGGTTATTGTTAAGTAGAGATGCAAGAAATTCCAATAAATGATTACCCAAATTAAAAATGCTTCTAATAAAAAGCAACACTCTTCCCTTGCTAACATGTCCAGCATTCTGAGATTTTCCTCTGCAGAGCAGGGATTAGTTCCTCAATGCAGGAAGTACACACACACTTATACACACACACACACACACACACACACACACACACACATGCACGCACATGCATCATATCATTCAACATGGCAGAGAATACAGCACTGGGACAGGTGCTATGTAGAGTGCCTATACCATCTGACACCATAACTGTTACATTTATAAGAATGACAGAGCACTGGTGATGATTATGTCTGAAGAAGAGGTACACATGGAAGCTTTCCTCAGCTTTTGTGATATAATGTCTCCCCCTTGCTCAGACTGAGACCTCAGCTAGTCTCAAACCAGCTGTGGGGCTCTGTTGTAGTTGAGAGTTACAAGGAAAAAAGTTTCGTATAGGACATGTAATTTATAGTATTATTTGTAATGGTCACCCAAGGAGTCAAATACAAATAAAGCACAAGAAATCTGTTTAAGACACTAAAGAGCTAGAAAATCCAGCTAAGGGCCTTGATCCCTTGGTAATAACCTGCATCAGCTCAGCTGAAAACCTATAGCCCACGATAATGACCCATGCAATTCAATCCCATGGATCTGAGCTGGGAAGGCCAAAGGTTAGCGGTGGAAGCTAGAAAGTCTGTGCTAGCAGGATGAATCATCTGTGCCAGCAGGCTGAGGGCTCTGTACTGGAGCCAAGAAGTGAAAAGTGAACCACAACTAATTTCAGCAACAAGGTCTTGAGTTCTTCCAATGATAACAGCTGAGTTCATATCAGGGAGCCAGCATGACAAGCTCCTCCAGGAGAACCCATGGCTCCAAACAGCAACATTTAGGAGAACCCACAGCACTACCCTTCCCATGCACGTCTCCTTTTTATGTTGGCCACAGTCCTCAGGTGGGCCATCCACACTCAGCACCACGCTAACTCAGTTTAGCTGGTGTTTAAACTGACCACTAGTTACCAATCCCCTATAGGCTCTAAGCAAGGCGTCATCCTGTCTGAGTTTCTTTACCAGTCAACAGGATATGATTAAATTTTCTTGTTTATTGAACACCAACTACTGAGCAGTCTCATTGGAAGTATAGAAGAAAAAGTAAACATTCGAGCCAAAGTCTACTCAGGGAACAAAGAAACTGTCTAATAGCACAATGAGTGGAGCTATGGAGACTTACACCTGGCTAAGAGGTCTTGAGTTGGTGGAACAGAGCAGTGATTCTTCTTATGAAGGCAGAACAATACATGTCACAGTGACACATTACCTAAATCCAGGAAAGTAAGCAAACCTCATGTCCTAGCAGCCAGACAGGAGCGGATACACAGAGTCCCTGAAGATGAAACAAGATGGTAGGTCCAGACAGTCACAATAATTTTTTTTTATCTTGGTGATTTTAAGGTGCTTTGTGCATACTGAAGCCTAAGGCTCTCCCTTCTTGATGTCAAATATGATTGGTAAAAATTAAGGTTTTATTTTAGCATCAGAGTTAGTGTAATAAGTTACATTCTATCTCCACAGCCATTGGATCTTTTCCTATTCATGTGATATCTGTTTAGATTGGGCAGTGCATGCACAGATGTACCTGGAAGAGTATAAAGAAAGGATAATAAATGCCAACCTCAATGCAGTTGGGAATCATTACATTAACAATGAAAAGAAATGTGGTTGGAGTAGGCCAAGTATGCTGACTCTGCATGGATGTTGATGGTAATAGCTAACCATCAGTGAATGTTTTATAGACATTAATTCAATGAATTATCACAATGCTCAGATTAATTCCATATAAACATTATTTCTAGTTACAAATTAGATGGATGAACTATAATCGAGAGAAGAATTTTCCCAAGCAAAGCTTCATAGAAGTGGGAGAGCTAGAATTTGACACCGGAAGTCTGGCCCAAGGGTCTGTACTTCTGACCGTGACACCACATGCTACGCAAGACTTTGGTGGACAAGTCGTTCCATGTGTCCAGCATTCCTTAGTACATCTTTGCTCTAGAAAACCACTGGTAGAAATGTGAGAAAAGGATCAGCTGGCTCTTAGCAGCAGCCTTTAGAGGAAAAAGATGTGCAAAGGGCACTGAAAAGGAATTTCCAAAATCAAATTGTCACATTGTAATTCAGCACTCAGACTTTCTGCACACAGAGTCAGAATGCTTGCCCTCTGGGTCTGCCCAGTATTCAGAATTCAAATAAGTCCATATGACATGAAAGAATTGGACTGGCCAGGTTCCCATGGAAACCGTCATGTTTTTGATCGGTCGTTTGCCTTCCAACAAATTTATAAGGTCTGAAAATAAGAAGAAATCCATCTGATACCCACCCAGGTTCAGCTTTTAATAGAACCACCATTAGAGGTGACTTTGCAGGAGATAGTGATGGTGGCTAAAGTGACAATAAAAAGGTTAATGTAACCACATTGTATAAGTGATTCAAAGCTTATGAGTTTTAAATACATAACAACTCATTTAAGCCTAATAATATGTGAGCATTATTGCCTTCATTTTTACATAAATGCAGATGAGGATCAGAGAATACAGTGACTTTTAAAATATAAGAGCTGGGATTTAAATTGAACTTTCCAAATGTAAATCCATCACTATTTCCTCTTGCCACAGCTGCTTCTCAAACTGTCAGAGATTTCACTGAGTCATCACGGTTTCCATCAAAAAAACTAAACACCCATAGCATACAGGTTTTGTTCTTCTGACAGTTTCCATTTCTATGTAAAAGTTCTAACACTCCCCACCACATAATCCCTGACTTAATCTCTAAATTGTACAGGGAAGAATCTTGGAGAAAATGTGAATATTGATGAATTTAACCAGTGAGTGTTCTTATTGTAACACCAAGAGACAGACAGACACCAAAAAAAGGCTTCCTGTCCTGTGAAGGCCGAGGGGGATGGAGGGCATGGCTGGAAGCTGCTTACCAATACAGGACTCCCCGGACTGTGAATAGGTCCCATCGTCATGGAAACCGCTTCTGCACTCACAGAGGTACCACCCTGGCAGGTTAACACAGCGGGAATGGTTGTGGCACTCAATGATCCCCTCTGCACATTCATCAATATCTGCCTCAGAGAAAAACACAAGCCCGCCAGGACATTAATGTCTTTGACACTAACCTTCAGTAAACACCCAGATGCGGTCAGGTCAACATATCAATTGGAATAGTTAGTCACCTAACATGAGAGCTAAAAGAAGAACTGAATGACATTTTCCCCCACAAAATCCAAAACATTTGAAAGCTTCATTCACGGATGTTTTCTCATGCTGGAAAACAAATGAGTGAGGTTGGAATTATGAAGTCTCTCCTAACAGCAAGTGCTGTGTTGCCCCACTATAACCAAAAACCCAACTGAATACCCTTTGCACTGTCTTAGAATTGGAGGCATGTGACTTTCCTTCGATTTGGCATTTCAAAATTAGTAATGTTAACTATCATAATTGAGTTCTTGAAAGATTCTTATGAACAGATAGTTCAGAAAACTAAGTAGAATTTTACTAAATTGCAGGCTTAGATTGCAAAGCTTTCAAAGAAGAATGGTGGTATCTGCTGTTTTTAAAAATTTATTTGACTGTTGCATCTTTTTTTCTTAGGATACCTTTAACATTTGATGGAGCTAGTGCTCTGGGGAATATAGTTTGGAAAATTATGGTTATAATTCATTTAAAACTGTTGATTAAAGATGTTAGTCAATGAAAATCCCTCATTTTTATTGACTCCTGATGACAGAAACCCCTTTAGTTCAGTTCTGTATCATCTTGTCCTTTTATTAGTACATGTTTATAGCACAAAATTCTTACATTCACCATGAAGAGTTGACAGGTATCTTGTTCTTTAAAATAAACAAATACCTGGAGAGGTCACAGATTTTTCGAGCCCAAGCACATGCTTCTGAGCTGAACTTGATTGATTCCACTGTAGAAAGAAGGGTTGCTGGTTGTCATGATGAAATTTCTATAGAATTCTTCATGAAATTATTTCTTAGAATCCATCCAGAATGTATTCTGGATGTATTCTTATTTAGAATAAGATGTATTCTACATCTTAGAATACATTTCAGTAGCTGGAAATCTACTATTTTGCATGGAAATACCTGAACTATTGTATATATGAGTTGAACATTAATTTACATTGGGATATAATATATAATGAATCGGATACTCAGTATCTCTTTCAACAGATCTTGTAGGCATCATCTCAGAGGCAATCAACTAACAGAGTTCTATTGCCTGTTCTAATTCTTGAATTATGTAATGAATCAGTACGTGAGTTTAGTTGAAACCTGACTCTCACTTTATCACATCCCAACGCCAAGCAGGGAGGATAAAGGTACATATACTTCTACTGTTCAACTCCAGCTTCTCTTTTGCAGTGAATGATCTTTTGCTCATTAAAGCCTATATTGTTCTTTCACACAGAACATCCTTTAGGCCTCTAAATGTCATCAGTTTTTAGGGCCTAGTGCTTCTATGGCACCTTCGTATATTGTAGTCAGACTGTGTGTGCATTTATTATAAATCCCCCCAAATGAATTCCCTATAATTATGTATACTGTCATCTCTTGAACTTTACAGGTATATTTTATGTGAGATGTACCTTGGATCACTAAAGATATCAAAAACTGAAGTGAGATGTCAGTGGTGGCTGTGGCTCACAGGGACAAACCTATACCCTGCGTTTCTGAACCAGCTCAGGGTTTTTCAAATGCAAGTCAATGAAAGCCACACCTGAAAGACTGATTTTCACATCTCTCTGAAAATCGAAAAGGGAAGACTGACTTTCTGGATATTAGTTTGAGAGATAACTCTTCATAACAGAGCAACAACAAATTCTATCTGGGACATTACAAAGCTGTCACAAAAATGATACCCACAGACTCCATCATCTTTAGGCTGCCAACAATACTTTAGATAACCATTTAGCCATGAATAGTGCTGGGAAACTAGAAGCCAGAAAGTCAAAAGCATGTCAAATAACTAAGGACCTGAATTGTTTGTTTGCCTGTTTCCCACAATCCAATAGAGCAGAAGTCATCCCTGTGACACAGGAACATCTCACAGCCAGTGAAGACAACAGGGGAATTATAGAACTGTGACTTCCCTAGAGACACTACAGCATCCCCAGATTGCATTGGAAATGAGGGAAGTAGTGAAGAGGGCCTTTGTCTGGGATCAGCACTTTCCATATAGATTCCAGGGACTCATGGGAAGTAACCAGGGCTCCTCACACAGACAGCTAGCAGTAAGGCTGCACATTTCTGTGCTCTGTGCAAGATCTACAACTGTAGGCAGAAAATACATTTCATTGGCAACCATACTGCATGGGGTAGGTGTCGGGGGGGGGGGGAGCCTTCCCTTCCCATTTCACTCTGTTCAGAAAACTGGCTATTTCATCTATGGAGCCACCACAGTATTAACTGCAACCACCCAGATCCAAATACAGAAAACACTCGAAGGCTTTTCAGCAACACACTGGAGACTTTACAAATTATAAATGATGATTTCTCCCTACACTGGGTTGTGGCTGCTGTTGTCCTGAGAGATTTGTTTCTCCCAGTCAGTGCTCGCTACTGGCAAACAAGTGCGAAGATACTGTGGAAATAGGGGCCCTGCAAGTTCACTGTGGAAGCCAATTCTCGCCCAAGGAATTCTGATCAGTCACAGAGCTGGGCTGCACCTCCTGGTGTGTCAGCCATTCCAAGGAAACAGGCAAACAAAAAGTCCTTGTTATAGTTTTTAGAAAGTCTTAGGATTTTGTTTAAATCTCAGTGTCATCCAGCAGAGACCTGCAAATGCAACAGAGGAACAAAAGGTGCTGGGGGATGCTTCACAGCAGAACACACAGTACTCATCTGGGTAACCAATCACCAAGCATCAGCTGCACAAAAACTAACTTCCCTGCTTGGATGACACAGGTGAACTGTTAATCAAAACTAGCTAAGCTGAAGCCTGCAATTGTCACCAATCTATTATGTTACTGATGAATCAAGAAAGGGTGATTTGCATAAGCCATCTATTCAGCTCTCCAACTGTCCATAAATTGGGCATGATAAACTCACACACAGTAGGATTTAGATTTTTTAAAAGAAGACTCTCAAGAAAAACATGTTTTGGTTTTTCTATTATTATTAACTGAAAGATAAATACTACTACCAAGAATATAGGGCAGAATAAGTAGATTTTCCAAATCCAGAAAAATGAATATGAACTTACAGTCAGGAAACCTATAGGGAGTAAAAGACAATTTCAAAATCCTCTAAGATATTCATTTGGATTTTGAGAGAACTGTAACATTGTAGAGTACTCTGTAATGGCATTTATGAGTGTATCCATACACCCTAAAAATTTAAATTCTTCCCCTAGAAAGAGTCATGTATATGGCTGAGTAATATTCCATCATATAAAAATACCACATCTTTTTCATCCATTCTGTGGTAATGTATAATAGACATTGCGATAATGAAATGGAAAGAAAGTGCTCTAAAAGACATAACTGTATGCATGTTTAGGTGTGCAAGACAGATAACCACACTACTAAGCATTTCTTAGTTCATCAGACAGAATGGTTTGTACTGTCATTGTTTGACTGTCCACATTTTATGCTTTGATTTTGTGACTTGAGCAACTACTTCTATGCTAACCATGTGTAATTTATCAACTAGTGATTTCTTACTGTTTTTTTGAAATTCTGTATTATTTATACCCTTTTTTCTGTTTTGCTGTTTTTCTCTAAATAAAAATGAGTCATGTAAATGGAATGAAGTGGGATTAGCAACATATATTGCTACACATACACTAAAGGTAGGATTTTTATCTGACATTTGTTGAATGCCAGGACTGTAACGAGCACAGCATTTGCAAACCCTGCAGGAAAAGAATCTGTCTCTCTCACTTTTCTTCTTTTTGGGGCCCCAAGGGTGTGTCTTGGGCATGGTTCTTTTGCAAGTCATTGAAGCCAACCAAGTGAAGCATAGTTACCAGTCTAGAAGTATTGCAATTCCACTGTGTCTCACAGAAAGGGCTCATAATGAGCCTCAGTAACATTTTCTCCTGCTCTTTGAAAGCCAGTATTCAGGGAAGACTTAGAAGCTACATTTGCGAATGTTACATACTGAGCCCTTCCACAGACCTGAAACTGTCACGGATGAGTTATATAAGAAATCCATCTCTATGTTATTGAGCCCTTACACGGTTTGGGGCTGCTTTATTGTTACAGCCAGGATTTCCTAACTGCCATGATAAATTCCTTTCCACATGGAGGGGGAAGACTGTGGTAAGGTAAGAATTCATTCGGACTCATTCTTACCAAAAAAAAGAACAATCAAGGAACAAAGTCCAGTTCCAATCCCAGGGATTTAGTACTCCTTACTGAAACTTTGAGAGGCAAAAACCTACCTGTTCTTAAACTGCAATGTGGCTAATAAGGAAACTAAAGAAGAAAGATGTCCGATAAGCCTTGGGCAGTCCTTCAGCTGGCTGGCAGCAGAGGAAGGCATGGGATTTCGTAGGCAGCTACAGCAGCTGAGTTTGTGTGCTGCAGGTCAGAGATCAAGGCGAAAACACGCAACCACTCAAACCTCACGCTTTGAGTCAGATGAACTTCAGTGTGGTTCTGGAATTTCCTATAAGCATGAGAGCCTTACTCATCTTTCTCTGACTTTAAGTCTGATTAGGTTTTAAATGAGTATAATATTACCTGACTCATAATGTGGCCTCAAGGTTTTAATCATATCAGTGTGAAGCTACTCTACAAAGCAAAGCAGATGTTCATCGGGAATAGAATAATTGTTCTCTAATCTATAATCCCCGCGTGACCACTAATGAGCTGTGTTTCCATGCCAAGACAGTCCAAGTCCCCAGATTTCAATTCCTTACATCCAAAAGTAAAAGACTGTCCTGAGCACACTAAAACCTCTTTCTAGCCTTTACTTCTTACACGATGAAATATCTGGGCTTTGGGGGCTTTAGGTCTTCATGTACTACTAACCAAATGGATCACTTACTAAAAGTTTTAAATGACCTCTTTATAACTTGGACCCTTTATTAGGTAAACTGCAATTTAAAT